TTTATTATACTGACATATAATGAACATGTTATATAATAAAATGAATATGTTTTCAAATATGATGAACATGTTACAGATTGCAGATTGAAATAATACATATTCATCTTATTTTATAACTTGTTCACCTTATTGTGTATGTAACATGTTCATTTTATTACGTAACATGTTCACCTTATTGTGTATGTAACATGTTCATCTTATTCTATAACATGTTCATTTTATTACGTAACATGTTCACCTTATTGTGTATGTAACATGTTCATCTTATTCTATAACATGTTCATTTTATCATGTTATTCTATAACATATTCATTTTATTATGTAACATGTTCATCTTATTCTATAACATGTTCATTTTATTACGTAACATGTTCACATTATTGTGTATGTAACATGTTCATCTTATTCTATAACATGTTCATTTTATTATGTAACATGTTCATCTTATTCTATAACATCTTCATTATATTATGTAACACGTTCATCTTATTTTAGAACATGTTCATCTAAATTTCATTTGTGAAAATGTAACATTTTCATCTTATTCTATGACATCTTACTCTATAACATGTTCATCTTACTATGTAACATATTCATCTAATTATAGATTTATGTCATAATCTTCCAATAAGATAAATTAATTATAAAAAATGATAATTAATTGTGTTTCAAAAAATATCAAATTTGGACTTTATTTGTAGAGAATGAAAAATTATAAATTTTGGTATTTTTATTTTTATTTTTTGATACAAAATATGAATGATAATTTAATTTATATAATATGATATATAAATTTCATTGGCCAATAAATATGAGACACATGTCCCATTTTTTTTTAAAAAAAAATGTCTTACCTTCTTACCTCACACGCTTTTTGGGAGAGTGTATTTCACCAAAGGCCCTGACACACCTAGCAAGGTGTGCCAGGGCACACCTAAGTATTTGCGCAAATTTGGCCCTAAATTACTTTTCATTAAAAATTGAGTACCAAACAAACAACGATTTTTTACTACAATATTATGAACGAAACCGTCGTAAAGGGGTCGATCTAACATAACAGTGAGTCAATCAACCAAAATGGATGTTTGACGACTCCAGAATCTAGCATGACATGTAACAGCTCAAATTGTATTTAGAACATGGATTCGAGTGGGCAAACTGTTTCATAAAGATTTGGTGGGCTAGGGATAATCAAGTTACCTGACTCGGGTCGATCTCGAGGGAAGGATATTCGGAGCTTTATCTACTAGTTGATTGTCCAAATCACAAAAAGATAAAATAAATCCTAAACATTCTAAGCAATTGATTGTAGGATGATTAACACAAAACGAGCGAGCAATGAGCTAAGAGCAATATCAAATCACGAGCGAGTAGCAAACTAGATCATTAGAGTCTCATGCCATAACCACAGCGAGATGATAATCAATCGACATAAAAAATAAACGAGCTATGAGCATTAGATTGCTAGCTAACTCTAGTCGTCTAACCCCAAGTGATTAAGCCCTAATCGGGTCTTAATCCTTAAACGAGATCAACAAGCAATTAACTCCTCTATCTACTCAAGCAAGCAATCAAATCCCGACTCTCCCTCCATCATCAATCAGTCCCAAATTTACCCTAATAAACATTATAAGTAAATACGGAGCAAAAATCAAAGTAAAGCGCTTTAAAACTAAATACCCATTCTTCCAATGCGCAGACGACGAAAAACAGATTCAAAAAGTCAGAACTTGAAAGAAACCAAAGTCGCCGGAAAATCTCCCGGAAAATGACACAAACTTCTAATCTAGAAAGAAAAATGAAACATAAGCTAAGTTCCCAAAAGAGAAAAATAAAATAATGAAAAATGGATGTTCAAAATGCAAAGGAAGAAAAATATTTATACTCCCACTCCAAAATACACACTAAAACACACAGGTTAAATGGGACACTCTCGAGCTCTCCATGAAATCCGCGAGCTCGTAGGTGACTGATAGCACGGCGCGCACGGGCGTTGGTGCGTGCAAGTATGGGCGACGGCACGAGAAAAAGGCACTCTCGACCTCGCAGGGGAGTTCGCGCGCGCGGGCAGGCAAGTGGCGGCACTCTCGAGCTCTCTGGGAATTCCGCAAGGTTGCGGGCGTGTGCTTGGCAGGTGTTGCGGCACTCTCGAGCTCGCCGGGAGATCCGCGAGCACGCGAGTAGAGC